AGCCAACAGCAAGGAAAGCTGCAGGAACTGTCCCTGGGGAGCAGGCCACAGCAGGTCCACTATGGCATGGACAAACTGGGCCAAGGCACAACAAAAACCCAAACTAAACACTCCCATGGTGCACTCAAACAAGCAACAGCCTTCACAAACCCACTGAGGCAGCACACAGTCCTGTGCATCTGCTCAGTCACTCCTACCCTCAGAAATCCCTCCTTAGCACCAGCACAGAAAAAAGAGCTGGGAATTAACACAGGTTAGAAGTGGCAAAGACAGACTGAGTTTGAMTCAAATGAATGCCTTATCCAGGTTATCACATGGCCAGAGATGCTACAACAGGAGAATGAACAGCATATGAAGAAGGAGAAGCAGAACTACGCCCCTGCCATTAGTWGCTGGTGAAAAAGTTTGTGCAACCACAGCCCCAAGTGCCTGAAACCACAAAGGCAGGAACCCCAGGCCATTCAGTGGAAGGTTGGAGGGGCCTGCTGAGGCACAGCAGCTCCTGAAAGCAGGGATCAGCAGCTTCAGCACTTCAAAGGAAAGGCACTCGCAGCCTCCAAGCCAAAGGCGGCTGGAGAAGGCTGCCAGCCCACTCCTGCTGTCACAGGATCCTCGCCAGGCAAACAGCAGAGCTGCAATTAGAAGAGGTGTTTGTTGGCCTCTCCTCTGCAGCTCATTAGCAGAGGTAAGGTTTGCAGTCAGAACRAGAAAGTGCCGACCTCCAGTGAGCACAGCTCACTACAACCCTCTGTAAGACAAGGAATGAGTCCTGCCACCAGCTTCCATTCAACTGAGGAGACCTGTGGCTTCAGCTTGCTGACAAGGAACATTCCAGGCACACAGGACAGGAGGTTACGTGTTGCAGCAACACATCTTCTGTAAGAAGGTCCAGATAAGAGCCTTTGGTGTTCCTCCTCACTATCTTCTATCTCCATCTTGGCCATTTCAAACACAAGAGACCCCAAAGACAGCCTTGGACAATCACCAAACTGGAGGTCCTCTGTTTGAAAAAGCTTTTCCTAGCAAAGCCAGAGCCTTGCTTTCCCTAAAGCAAACTGGAGTCACTCTACAAGAAGCTCCAGACAGTTCCAGATGCATCTTTCCAGTGGCATCACGGGCAGGAACAGTGACT